CACCATGCCCAGCTAATTTTTTGTATTTTTAGTAGAGACGGGGTTTCACCATGTTGACCAGGATGGTCTCGATCTCTTGACCTCATGATCCACCCGCCTCGGCCTCCCAAAGTGAGAGGCATCATTTTTACTCCCCACGCCTGTGCCATTTTCTCTGTTCCTCGTCCTTTAGTGACTCTTTCGCCAGTTATTTACTGAGCACCACCACATGCCAGGCTGTGCCTAAGCACCAAGGCTACCACCATGGCCATGACAGGTGGGGTCCTTCCTCTCAGGGCAAGCTGGCTTCTCCAGGGGAGGCAGGTAACAGAGATAACATCAGAGTGCTGAGATACAAGAGGGCATATGTGACACTGAGCTGAGGGCAGGGGGAAAGCACTCCAGGCAGAGGTCAGAGCACATGCTAACCCTAAATTGGGAATGAGATTTTACAAAGCTGAGTGACTAAATCTGAATGAGGCACATGGAAAGCAGAATATCAGCGGGGAGGTTCAAGCACCCCGTGTAGGGGCAGGGCTCTAAGTGAGTGGCTCATACTTTCATTGTCAGAATGAAATGTGTAGAGGCTCTGAGAAATTTGTAACCCAGCTCGGGGGGCGAGCCACTGTAGTAGTCCAGGCAGGATCCCAGAGGCTGGACTAGGGTAAGGGTAGTAAAGGTGGAAAGCAAATGGACTCAAATACGTTTTAGGGGTGGCAGTGATATGACTTGCTGATGGGTTTGGATATGCAAAGTGAGGAAAAGAAGAATCTAGAACTCTCAGATTTTAGGCAACAGGAATTAGGTAGAGAATCACCATTGACAGAGTTCCTTAAGCCAGAAACTTCTTGCTATCTTGCCACTTCCAGAACCAAGCCAGACATGTCTAACTGATGGTGGCCCCAGGCAGGCGACTCCTGAAACAGGACCAAGGCTCCTGGCACGTGCTTGTGTTCCGATCCTCCCAGTCATTGTGAGTTCAGCTCAGATCTCCCTCCTGAGCCAGCCAGTACAGAACACCCTCCCAAAGACGCCCTGAAGCCCCTCTTCTCTCAGTCTGTCACCCCTTTCCTGCTGACCATGGTTTTCATCAGAACCGCTTTTTCATCAGCTCCCTGCACTCCCCAGTGCCTCATGCTTCTGCCAAGCACCAACCCCACACCAGTCCACAAACCACCTCCCCAACTCCTACCCCCTGTGTTCAGAGTAGGAAAACCCTCCTCCTCAAGCTGGGGATCCAGCACCTCCAGGCCCGGTCCCACTATGCTCCCATTCCCCAGGCCCGGTCCCACCATGCTCCCTCAGACTCCACCGATTCCTTCAGGCCTGGTCGACTTTCTCTCCTGCTCCTCCCAGTGGCTAAGCCAGGCTTGCACCTTCCTGAAGCTCAAGCAGCGCGACCTCTAAACCCAAATCTCTACCCCCCACCCCGGCCTCTCCCTGCTTCGTCAAGTCCTTCCACGGCTCCCCAGTCCTCTGGGACAAAAGTTGAACTCCCATCTGGTATTCAAGACCTCTGACACTTACATGGTAAAACGGCAAAAGGAAAAAACAAACCCCTAACATCCAGCCCTGACTTCCCCCCTGCCCTACTGTCACTATCAGTCCTCTGAGATCTTAAAACCAAATAGTTTAGGACTCTCGGTATATATACATGCTCACATTCCAGACTCTTCCAGATATGATTCTCCTTTTGCAGGCTGGCTTCCTCTATGAGGCTGGGGAATGTAACACTGTGCCCAAGTTAGGCGTGAGGCAAATATTTGTTAAATTAATAACTATTTCAAACTCCAGTTTACCATCACCTCCTCCAGGAAGCCTTCCATCACCAATCCCTCCCTTTTCTGCCAAGAGAGCACCTTGCCTTGATCACCTTGTGCTAAAACTGCCTGTCTCCGTGACTACCTCCTTGCCTACAATGAACTTGGTGAGGGAGAGCAGGGATTGGGTATGACTGCTCTGGGTCTCCCACCCCTAGAAAGTTTTGCACAAGTCACAGGGCAGCATCAGGAAGCCCTTGTTTACATTTCACATACCCTTTAGGCCCTTCTCCCAGCCAGCCCCAGATAGCAAATGTGGCTACCTCCTAAGAGATACACCCACCTCCTTCCATTTCAGAGGGGTGGGCACTGTCTTTCCACACCCCCTTCCCATACTGCTCAGGCCCCCTTTGTCAGGTCTGCAGAAGCTGTGCCCAGCACCCGCTATCTCTTGTCCTCTCTGCCCCGGCAGGGGTCCCAAAGGTACACGAGTGAGCTCTGTGAGGGCACCAATGGGAATGCAATCTACTCAATGACTATTTGGGCCTTGACACTAAATTCTAGTCATCTCTGGGAATCAGGCCAGGGGTAAGTGATATTGGGCTGAGGGTGGGCTGGGGTTGGGGGACAATCGAGGTGCCAGCAGTCACCTCTAGGACTCAGGGGCCTTGGATCACCTCAGAGAATCAGTGGCACAAGGAGTCACTTCTTTGGAGTCAAGGATGCTTGGTGGTCCCCCACTGGGGGGTCAGGGATGGGGGCACTTGGGGTCAAGAGTTGGAGATATTGGGAAGCCACCTCTGGGGAGTGAAGGGTGAGGGTGCTGGGGTCACCTCTGGGGAGTAGGGGGAGAGGGTGCTGGCTGGGGACCTCTGGGGAGTAGGGGGTGAGGGTGCCGGGGTCATCTCTGGGGAGCGGGGG